CTGCTGAAAATTAAGCCAATTACTTCTTATCCACAATGGAGAAGAACAATCAGTTACCATACTCTTCATAGCAACACTTTACATATTTGTAGACTGGTGCTGTGTCCACACCATTCTTCTTTTATCAGCATTTTAAAGTGCAGTGCCCCAAATGCTAAGACCTCACCAAGTCAAGCAGAGCAGAATAATGGCTTCTCAGCTACTCTTGGTACAACATCAATGTTAATATAGTATAGAATAACATTTAAATTTTTTGCAGTAGCAATATATTCTTGATTCATATCCAGCCTATCACCCCCAAATTCACTTGTGCAGCATTGATGCCTGCCTATTTTTTCCCTGTTATGTATTTAAGTATTTAATATTTCCTTCCTAATCTAATCTTTGAGTATGTTTATTTAATTTCACATGATGGCAACTTAATGTGAAATAATTAACATTGCTTTCATCTTCCACTACTTCTGTACTTTTTTTTTTTTAATATAAAAGTGCAACTGCTGTGTTCAGTTACTACACCTACAGTACAGAGATAAATGGGAAAGTATTTTACAAATTATATTATCAACCTTAAATGTCTGTTACAGAAGCAGCACTAAAATTAATTATCGTGTGTAATAAATTCTTCATATTTTTATTCATTCATGTCATTGATCTGCACTCAAAATGTCCTTCATTTAAGGATCTAAAAGTGTGTTACAAATATTAAATAAGTCTCATTACCCCTGTGAGAAAAATAATATTCTTCACATTTTACAGAGGAGTTAACAAGACACTGCAGAGGAGGGATACGTGATTTGCAAAAGGTTATACCGGGAGTCAGTGGTAAGGATGGAGCATAGAATATAAAAAACCTGACATTAAACCATTCATATTCTTTCCCAAAGTGAGTTTTTTGAACAAAGAATTGATCAAACTGGGAAGAGTTTCCTAGGAGTAAGCCATACTCCCTTGAAACTAACAGATTTGACCAAACTTGCTCTTAAAATTGACAGTAAATGTTAGGCAGCTTCCCACATTTAACATATTATCACGGGTCATTTGGGAAGCGAAAGTTGAGCAAAGCACAGTCCTCATTTCATTGCACTTTCTGCAGGCCAACTATAACACTGAACTGCCTGGTTACCTTCAATAAGCACCCTAATAGTTACATACATTTTCTACATTTTTAGTTGGTTTCTAAAGAAGACAAAAAAAGGAAAACACACTAATCTAAAATGCCTATGAGCAAAGTGCTGCAGTTCTGATGGTTCTGGTGCACCCTTGGAACCAATTAGTTTCATTCTTTGAGTAGCAGGGGAATTTGAAAACATTGCTTCCTGAGTCCTTGCACTCTCAGAAGAGGCAAGTACTGTGAAGACTCAGTGGCTCAATCCATTTTACTGACCACTTTGAATTGTAGTTATTTCCCTATTTTTACTGGAACAACCCTAAGTCATCTTCAACCATAATGACTTCTGCTCAAACTGAAAATGACTTGACTCCAACAAGGCCACATTGTCCTCAGTTGTTGGCAGATATACAAAAGAAACAGGGCACACAGGAAAGAGCAGGCTGCACTTCCTGAGTACATGTTCTGCTTCTGCATACTGGAGAAATCTAAAAAGGATTCTGCTTCCTTGAGATGCAACCATGACATGATAACCTGGTACTACAATACAGTGTGAGTTCCTCCACCCTGCCTCCAGTGCAGAAGCCTAAATGATACGACTGAACACAAAAGATAAAAGTCATTATCCTGCCTCAAGTGACTAATGCGAATTGCAAGAGTTTGGGCATTGAAATATACACAGGATGGGGTTGGGCAAAATGAAAATAAAAGGGCCAACCTATATGCAGGGGCTGAGTGATCACACACAGCTGCTACTGCAATTTTTGGATAGCGGTTGAAAAAAACACTCCGGGTTTTAGTTAATGATTCTATCTAATGGTAGAAATGCTAGCCAAGCCCCAACTCCTTCCATTCAAAAACCCACTCCCTCTAAACTCTCACCCTGCAGCTGGACTTGTGGAGTCCTGTTGTGCTGAGGGCTTTCACCCATATGATACTGGGAGAACGTTGATCTCTCTGAAGCAAAATCTGAGGTCTGTTACACATTACTTGATTCATAATAGAAGTGAAAAGCATGCATCCCTCTACCAATGAAGAGCACTGGTCCTTGAAAGAAAATCAACGTGCAGAGGGTACCAATTATTTATTTATTTTAGCAAAAAGGCCACAAACGAATTATATGTAAAATCCTTGAATATACACTTTTAAAATTTTTGGGCTTCAGGCTAAAAGCAGGTTTCTGGGAAGGTTCAAATACCTCAGAGTACTCTCTCCAGCCAAAGTGGTCCCTGCAGAAGTATTTCCAAACTGTATAGTAGTTGGAGGGGGATCCAGTGCAGGAAGGTGTGGAGAGCCTCCGCATTTGGTCAAATTCAGCTGTTTCATACAGTTTCATAATATTCAAATCCACCCAAAACTCGTGTCCCCTGGAAAGAATCAAAATAAAGAATTCTCAATATTGAACTCATCCAAAAACAATTCAGGGCATCAGAAACAAAGCTACTGCAGTATGTCTCAGCAGCACCATGCTTATCCGCTACCGGTAATCCAAACCAAGGCAGAATTCTGAGCATGCTACGTAAAATTCTGTACACATTTCTCACAGAGCCACAGGGACATCAGAGGGGTTGTACATGCTGTAAGAGGGCTTGATCTGGGCCTGCCGATTACAGCCAGACTGTGAGAAAGCAGGGCTTAGTATGGCATATGGCTGCCTCATATTGGGTGTTGCAGTTTGGCAGTCAGGAAGTTTCAGAGCTCCTGCATGGATACCTACTGCTCCATTCCTTTGGAGGAGGGAGGTGGTCCCCTCCCTGCGACTAGTCAGTGAGGAGGAAGAGGTATGGAGTGATAAACCCACGTTCATTCTAGACCCTTTGTAAGAGTGCTAGGAGAGGATAATCACTGCACTCTTCCCGTCTCAGGGATCATTGGTCTTGGTTGAAGAGCTCAGGGGTGGAATGCTCCTTGCCTTCTCCCCATAACTTGTATGCACATGAAAGGGCTAGTGGCAATCTAAACCTGAATATATTTCTTAGGACAATGGTGAAGAAATATGGTCTAAGCACAGGAAGAAAAAAGGCTTCCTACTCCAGAGATATTTGCTCACCATAGATGAGTTACAGAATGATAAATATACGCATTCTTGATATTTGGAGTATCCTATCTGAGCAAACACATCACACGACCATATTTGATGAAGCAGCCAAATACTATTCAAAAGGTTATTCTTGTGAAAGTTAGTGCTTCAGGGGAAAAAAGGAATGTAAATGTCTCCAGATGAGGAGCATCTGCTGCTAATCCACCGGAGAGTTCAATTATCTTTCATCACAAGTGCAGCAGAAAAGGACTGGCATAATATGAAAAGGAAAACTGATTTCACTATTATGAAGCTTATGCAGAAAAATATTTGCTTTTGTTCTGCTAGCTGTACTGCTGCTACAAAATCAGCACTCTAACATGCAACTTCATAGAAAAATGATTTAGTGCTTTTAGAAGGATACGAGAGCAAACTGGTACTACAGATTGAGAGTTTGATACCTTTTTTACCTCAAGGAAAAAAAGTAACATTCCATTATGGAGAAACTGTGTTCAGCAAAAGTGGCTTCTCATACTGGTTTGATGAGCAAGCGTTGAGAGAAATGAGCCACGTTGAAAACAAAAAGCATTTTGAAAACCATGTGCTAACTTAGCAGTCCTTGGCCAATGCCATCTACAATAGTCAGCCATGTTATTTGAGACCAGTTTCATGGGAACAGTACAGATGGCCCCAAACCTCAAATTTTGACTGATCTGGATCTGAACTTCTTGGTAGTCTGCAGGTGTTTGGACCTACGTGCAATTCTTCAAAGTTCCAGGCTATTTGTTGAAAGTGCTCAGATCCCACCTTCAGTTGAGGCTGTGTACAAGCAATTCCCAACCAATATTTCTAACTTAGCACAGACAGAATTTATAGGAGATTTCTTAAGTGAGGATCATAGACTAGAAAGATTGGAGATGAGTGTTAATAAGTGGTTTATGAAATTCCAAAGTACATCTCTCCTTGATGATAACCTTTAAACACATTAAAATCCTCCAGATCTTTGATAAATGTATTACACATTTATTTACATAACACAGTTATGTTACAGATGGGCATAGCTCCACATGGAGGTGTGGGCTAGACTATTGGACCCTTAATCATGTTGACTAGCAGCTTGCTCCTGGGAGTAACAGTATCACAATCTAGACCTGGGATGTTAAGCTCCTTGGAACAGGGAAAGTGTCTTATCTACATTCTGCAAAGTGAAATATACATTTGGAGATACATGGGAGTTTAGTAATACAATATTCTTCCTTGATAATTTATATATTCTCATAGTAATCTCAGAAGGGATGTGTGATATGTGACCCATATTAGTAAATAGCATTTATACATGTAGGCACTTGCTTGCTGTTCTTCAGGAACAGGAATAGTTGTCTTTAAACTGCCATAAAACGAATTTGCCATAAGCATCCATGTCATTAGCCAAAAAGAAAACTATATAGAAAAACATTTCTGTTAAAACTCAGCTTATCATTAGCCAACCAGCTGAGAAACACTTCAAAGGTCATTGGTTTATTAGCAAATTGGATCTTAAAAACAGATTCAAAGGAACAAATGATTCTGCAGGTTCACAGAACAGAGTGCAATGTGGCAGCTTTGTAGGCGTAAAAGCATGCAGCAGGCATATGTGCATCTGCCAGTTTAAAATAATGACCAATTCCTCTGAGCTCAGACAGCTAGTGCTTATGCGATTTAACACAACTCTTATAAGAATCACATTTCTTTAGGATTAGCATATTCCTCAGATAATGCTGTTCGGTTTATTAGATTTCTACCTTTACCACTTTTATACCTTACTGCAATTTGATAGTTGTAATCTTCTGAAAATCATAAACATGGCATTTAACACAAAATGAAATATTCCTTCTTTGCATTTAGTGAGCCATATTTTTGCTGGCTGAAACATTTGAATAGACAGATTGTTTTAACTACCTTTGCATGCTGAAACCATAAAAATGTTTATATTATATTTTACACAAGTGATGGATTTAAATATGGATAACTGAAACTCTGTAATTAGTGATTTGCTTGAGAAAGGCAGGAAAGACTGCAGCTTATTCACACCCTTGTTCTGTATGTTTTCACATTCTATTGGTGTTCTATCAAAATATCACAATAAAAAGGTCAAATCCCAAGCACTACAAATCACCCGCCATGTACTGTGAATGCCCAGGGAGATGTGCAGATGCTTGGCATGCCTCTGTACCTGCTGTTATTATTTATTTGTATTTGGTCTCATGAAGTGCTAGACATCTTCAAAGACATACAAGAAGGGATAACTGGTCCTGTTCCCAGGAGTTTCTACTCTAGGTAATTGGTCCAATGGTATTTGGATTACAGACTGGTGATACTGCTTTAGTTTAGATCTCTATTTATCCAAAAGCTTCAAAAATAGAAAAGAGGAAAATAAGTGGATATATTATGAAGTACCTCTCAAACTACTTGCTCCTAAATACACTGGGACAGATTGGTTTTGTAGGTCCACTGATATCAACATGGAGGCACATCTAGGATGGACTGGACCTATTCCCTTTCAGAGACACGCGATTTCTCACCAAGAGCTTTCAGTCTCATTGCGTACAATAGGAATAATTGTTTGCAGTAAGAGTAACTCATAAGACCACCTCCTCCTTTTTCAAATTCATCTATTGCTACGCAAATCAGGTTTTGCCAAGTCAACAAATATTGATCTCTAAATGGTGCCATATGTTAGCATACAGATTCAGATGCAAATTCTGTTGAGAAGACACTGTAATGCACAGAATCTTTAGAAAGATTAACAATGTGTTCTCTGCATGTATTAATGGCATGTGAAATCATTACAGTTAGAATCTGTGTATGACAAATAGCTAAATCCTGAGTAGGAGGCCTATTCTAATATCTTGTGTGTTTTATCATTAATAATTCATCCCATGCAAAAGAATGTTTATAAGTTAATTGAATCTTGCATTCCACCGCATGTTTTATCAATGCACAAAACACCCACACTCATTCATAAAACGTGTCCCTGAAGCCAACATTTGTTAACAGTAATATTCTATATTTCAGATAGATAACAACAGTGTATACAAAACCAAGATCAAGTGGAAGTGATAAAAATAAACCCATTGATAAAAACAAACAAACAAAAAACCCACAACATTAATCCAAAGAAATTACCGGTATGAATGTGCTGAAACTGAATGTTGGTCTGAAGAATACATACATACATTTTCTGGAGCGGGGACAAAAAACCCCTCAAAATAACCCCACCTTCCTGGTAGGCAGTCATTGTGTTCCACAACAACAGGCTTCAAACTACTTTATTTGAAAACAATGTGTGAAATCATGAGGAAGTCATCTCTGTTGAAAAACTGAGCTATATTATTATCTGATGTGTTGTAGGCAGGAGTATAAATGTGATTTCCTTTGTGAAATTCCACATGAAACCAGTTGGACTCTGTTGTAGGGGCTGTTGTTTGTTCATACCAACCTAAATTTTAAATGTAGATCATGGTGGCGTGAGGAGGCGGAAAGGGATCTTGGTGTCATTATTGACTCCAAGATGAACATGGGCCGACAATGCGAGGTCATGGTTGGCAGGGCTAACCGGACCTTGTCGTGCATCCACAGGTGCATCTCGAGTAGAGCCAGGGAGGTGATCCTCCCCCTCTATGCGACGCTGGTCAGGCCGCAGCTGGAGTATTGTGTCCAGTTCTGTGCGCCCCATTTCAGGAGGGATGTGGACAACATGGAGAGGGTCCAGAGGAGGGCCACCCGCATGATCCGGGGACAACAGGGCAGACCCTACAGTGAGAGACTGCGGGACTTGAACCTATTCAGCCTCCACAAGAGAAGGCGGAGGGGGGACCTGGTGACCGTCTATAAACTCACTAGGGGGAACCAGAAGGGTTTGGGGGAGACACTGTTTCCCCTAGCCCCTGCTGGCATAACAAGGAATAATGGGCACAAGTTGATGGAGAGGAGGTACAGATTGGACATCCGAAAAAACTACTTCACAGTCAGGGCGGCTAGGAGCTGGAACCAACTTCCAAGGGAGGTGGGGCTGGCCCCTACCCTGGGGATCTTTAAGAAGAGGCTGGATACTTACCTGGCTGGACTCATTTGAGTCCCGTTTTTGTTTTTAGGGTGAGTGGTTTTGTTTGTGTTTTTTGGGTTGTTCTCCCGCCCTGGCGGGGGGGCGGGCTAGAAGATCTATTAGGGCCCTTCCGACCCTGAAACTATGAAACTATGAAACTATGGTGAAGTCATGGAAGATCTACTTTGCTTCATTTTATTTTTTAATGCAAAAAAGTCATTTAATACTGTGTTTCTTCATGCACAGCACACCTCTATATACAA